GTATCATCCAGTACAAACTGCGAAAGTGGAGAATCTCTTAGTTCGTTTTTCCCCCTCGACAAAGTGAGAAGGTAAAAGGTGGAGAAAAAAGGAAAAAAGATAATGCTTTTTTATAATTGAATGCAACGAAACAAAAGGGACTAAAAGAAATTCACAGAGTTAGAAAAAGAAAAAGACAGAAACTTTTTTGATTAATAAAGTAAATCAAATCTTTTCTTCTCTGCTTCAACCTCCATTATTATTAACAGTTGCTCTCTTCTCCATTAGTAATGGTATACTATGAGGACTTCGCAACGGTGAAAACGATTAAACAGTTTGATAACTAAGGCAGCTGACTGGACGTCTGCTAGTCCAACGGTTAACGGCATTGGTTACTAAACGGCTGGTTGGAGGTTCAGCGCCAGCCGAGTGATGAACGTCAATTACAGTTATCCCTGTCTGAGAACAATTGGTATCCGAGCTGACAATTCCTCGTTTCTGACGGCTGGTCCCAGCCTTCTGTTGTTGCATTCAGTAACAAGTCAAATCAAAGCCGCAGGTTGTCATGCAATGGGCGTGGCTGAATCCCGTTCACTGCTTATGGTTGGCTCATGGAAAGGCTGTTGCACTCTGTGTGTGTGTGCGTGTCCGTTTGTTGGGTGCAATTTTGTCGTTGTTATCCGTTGATGTGAAATTTCACAACTAATTTTTCGTATGTGCTTATAAATTTTGGCTTTCAGCAGACACTGCAAATATAGGCATATGTATAAACAAGAGACATAAACGATGCACACACATTCGGACACGCATATAGCAGCACGTAAGCCTGTTTTGTTGTATTAGCAGTCGTTCAGTAGTTTTTTTTTTTGCTTCTTTAATTTTTTTTTGCTGGGGAGCGCGGAGTGGAGGAGAGAGACCAGATAGTCAGGAGATGGTTTTGTATCAACTGGAGGAAAAGTACAGGTTAAAAAGGCAACAATAACGAACAATGTTGGCATCTTGCAGAGGAGTGCTCTTAAGGTAGAATTGTGGGCCTGGTGATGACCATTAATACGTGGAACGGTCTGCTTTTTTTTTCTTTGGATGTTAAGTGTTGTTTATGTCGCCATTACATTATGATTGGTCTCATGACTTGTAAATGATAGAGAGTATAATAAAACCTGGAAGAAGTAGAAAGAAAGAAAAACGAGATTGAAAATAAAATATTTAAGTGTAAGGTGCTGCCTTAGTTACTTCATCCAATCTTATGTAGGCCATGCTGTCGGTGAGGTATTTTTTCTCTGCATTTTTTTTTGCAGCACCTTAGTTTTCGGTGCTGTATACATTTATGTACGTAGTTGTTATCTTCAGCATGTTCAGTATGCACTTGTGTTCCAGCTATTTTTGCTGAAAACTAGAACAAAAATCATGCACATGTTTTTTTTTTTTTTTTTTTTT